CTTGAAGACTCTCTATACAGCATCCTACAGGGTACTCTATAAGGTATAATATATGGGTGGTATTCTAGAACTGCTCATAGTTTCCCAGAATGCACTGGGCCTGCAAGTGGTCACTCTGTTCCTCCGCCCCTCCTGCATGTAAGTTTTCACTGCAGAAAACCCATACACACACATGCACACATGCACACACACACACACGCGCGCTCACACGCTCACATGCTTACACACTCACACGCTCACACGCTCACACGCTCACATGATCACACGCTCACATGTTTACACGCACACGTACAAACACACACACACACACACACCCGCACACACACACACACAGGGACAGAGACAGCGCGAGGGATGGGCTGCCCATCCCCGAACACGGTGCTGTCGGGATACGCAACCTCATCAGAGAACAGAGGGCAACAGTTTGCACCTACTATGCGGAGCATAGCGCCTTGCCCTTCTCCACCAGATTCCTCACCAATCGAATGACTCCTGGAGAGTCAGGTCCACGATCCACCAGGTCCTAGTTCCAGAGTTCAGGGACTTTAAAAGTTTGGAAACCTCGAAACCTGATCGTTCCTCAGGCCTCTGGAAAACGAATCCGAATGTTTTCCGGAGCTCTCCCAACCCTAAACCCCAGATTCGCTCCCTGAACCTCCATGTCTTTGGAAGGTCACAGCGTGCATAATTTCTCCGTATTTCTCTACTCGACACCCATGAAGATGACGGCGACGTCACTCTTGACAACGATGACACCCTTGCATGCCAAGCATCGCCAAGGAACACCTCGGCCATCAAGTCGTGTGTCTCTGTCATTTGTCTATCTAACCATCGATCTATCTATCTATCTTTCTATCTATCTATCGATCTATGTATCTATCAATCCATCTACCTATCTATCTATCTATCTATCTATCTATCTACTTCTATCGATCTACCTTTTTATCTATCTATCTATCTATCTATCTATCTATCTCTCTGCCTGTTAGCCTCTGCCTATCTACCTATCTACCCATCTACCTATCTACCCATCTATCCACCTATCCGTCTGTCGATCTGTCGATCGGTCGATCTGTCGATCTATCGCTCTATCGATCTATCGATGTGTCTATTTATCTATCTATCTATCTATCTACCAGCCTATCCATCCATCTATCTATCGATCCATCGATCTTTCGATCTATCGATCTATCGATCCATCTATCTATCTATCTATCTACCCATCTCTCTATCTATCTATCTATCTATCTAAATCTATCTATCTATCTACTGCTCTATCTATTGATCTATCTATCGATCTATCCATCGACCTACCTCCCTCCTACCTACCTACCTACCTACCTACCTACCTACCTACCTACCTACCTACCTACCTACCACCTATCTACCTATCTACCTGTCTACCTATCTTTCTAACTATCCATCGATCTATCTATCTACCATCTATCTATACATCTATCTACCGGTCTATCTACCTGCCTACCTACCTAGCTAGCTACCTATCTATCTATGTATATATCTAACTCTCTCTCTATCTACCTATCTATCTATAAATCCATCTTTCTTTCTATGTATCTATCTACCTACCTATCCATCTTTCCATCTATCCATCTATCCCTCTTTCCATCTATCCACCTATCCATCCATCTATCTATCTACCTCTCTCTCTATCTCTATCTCTATCTATCTATTTGTGTGTGTGTCTCGTATCTCTGTAAATGCATTTCCCAGTAAGGTCACATGTGCCAGTATGCATCTGCACGCAGGGCTAGGCATGTTTGTTTGGTGTATGTATGTATGTATGTATGTATGTATGTTTGTATGTATGTATGTATGTATGTATGTGTGTACGTATGTACGTATGTACGTTATGTACGTATGTATGTATGTATGTATGTATATATTATGTACGTATGTATGCATACATACATACCCATCCATATATATATATATGTATGTATAGAGACACATAGATGGTGAGATAGCCAGACAGATAGACAGACAGACAGACAGACAGACGGGCAGGCAGGCAGGCAGGCAGGCAGGCAGACAGACAGGAAAACAGATAGATCAGATAGACTGATATGTCACATATGCATGTATGATAAAGCACGCAATGGCCCCCAAAGTTGCTCATTGTATGCGTTGCTTTCTACGTGCCCGGAACGTTGTATCCGATCAGGCACGAGCCGTCGACCCTCCGAGTGCTCTCCGTTGCCATCGTAGCCCAAATGATCCAGCAGCGACGTCAAAGCCCCACACTCCTGGGCTCGCTTTTCCCACATTGACATCTATCCTTGCACGAGACCGGGCAACTCTTGGTCGAGTTGCGCCATGAATGTCTGCAACGATGTCAATCGGCCCGTCAAACAACCGGCCGACCAGCGCAACAGCCATAGCCAAAGGCAGACTACATGTGGCAGGATCCATGCGCACAGTCTGCATATCTACGACGACAGACTGAAGTATGCTTCACTGCACATCGCGGATGAAAAGGTTTAGCATCCCTCGCCCTTCACAATCTACACGGTCCTGTCATGCTGCAGGCGTGAATTGAGTGATTTCGGCCCGAGCACGAAAAACAAGCAGAGAGGGCTGGAGCGCTCAAGTGCCTGGTTGTTGCAGTCGTCACATTCCTCGTCTCCGACCCGCAAACCGTCCATGCCGGCTGCACGGCACCTTACCGTATACGCGAAGACCGCTGACAGTGGCGTGGCTTGCGACAGAATGCCAGAAGGCAGGATTTCGCGGTCCTGAAGCTCCGTCGTCTTTAAGCCCACTGCTTTGATGTCCCCAGCCCCCAGCCATCAGCAAAGTCTCCAGGTGATGCTGCCTCCGCTGCAGTGCAGCTCCTAGAAGAATCCCCCGTTCTGAAACACTGCGCTTTGTTTATGTCTTATTCATTCAAGGGTTTCTGTCCCCAGTGACCAGGCCGTTCTAGCAGATTGGCCCTGCAGAACCGCACATGCATTGAACAGGCTCAGGCCTCGAGCACCCAACAGAACAAATCCACAAACGTGGTAAGGACTTTTCCCGGAAAGGCCTCGCAAGTCCAGCCAAGTTCCACCTGGATGCAGTTCAAGTCAGAGCAACATGATGAAAACAGCAGCTCCACTGGAGCAGCAATGATGGATGGTGATGGTGATGGTGACAGTGGCGGGTGCCGTGCATGGTGATGGTGGCGACGGCGGCGACGACGACGGTGACAACGGTGACGACAGTGTATGCCATGACTACTCAAATCTACTCAACCGACCAGAACAAGCAGCAACCCCCATGCAGCAGTCGAGAGGCACAAGAAGAGCAGGCTAGAAAGTGCACACGAAGCATGGGATTCTTGAAGCGAAACGACTTTGCTGTGGCCTTGGCACCCATGTGCAGTGAGCTGGGACGCTCTGAAAAGTCACGGGTTCGTGCAAGAGAGACAAGAGGCCCACCTGACAGCTGCTGCTGCAGCCGTCGCCATTCACGGTGTTGCCATCGTCGCAAGCCTGGTGTAAGCCACTGGACAGGGGAAGGTTCTGAGAAGCACCCTCCGGCCCAACCTCCTGCCGATAGTTTTCTATGACCATTATAGTCTTTTACAGCCGGGGTTTTAGATGGGAACTCTGGCACCGACCTCGCCGTCATGAGCTGCACCATCCGGGCACGCTGACCTTGAGAACTGTGCTCGCACTCTCTCCAAAGCCCGTGTACGCGACTCGGAAGCTCAGATACGATTTTCAAGCACCACCAATCAAAGGTTCCTCAATCACAAAGCCGAGGCGTGGCAACTCAGCCGTCAATGTGGAAAAAACGCGGCGGCGAACACCAGATCTTTACAGCAACACCTAGACCCTAAACCCTAAGACCTAATCCCCAAAACCCTAAATCCAAACCACAAAATCCTAAACCCTGAATCCTACGGCCTGCAATTTCTGAACTCCGGTCAGCCCCACAAGCGGGCCAAGTCACGAGGCTGCCACGCGGGAGTTCCAGAGTACTGGAGTATGTCGAAACTTCCATGACATGGAAACGGAATACCGATGACCGGCCCTTGGGCCCGGAGTCTGCAATGCCAAACTTGGGAAGAGCAGTATGAGAAAACAGAGTCGTCAGATGCTTCTTGTATTAGTATGACTCTGTGTATGCGAAACATGTGCTATATGCCACCGGAACTCTTGCTGTGCAATTGCTGTAATATCGGAAGATTCTGGGATGTGTGAAAAGGCACCGTCATCACACATTGGCTAACCTCTCGTCCTTTGTTGATGTAAGCTGTATTTTTGTTCGTCAGATCTCCTGGGCACACGATTGTACTACCGTAGAGCTTCTGGCGGAGTGGCCCCGGGCCCCTTTCTGAACATTCACCATCATTGGCGTTTTTTGGCCACCCGGCAGAACCCGAAGCAGCGTCCAGTCCGACCACGGGGATGAACCGATGGGATTCCGAGCCTGGGCCGGCAATTAATGTCAAGGGCAAAGGGCAACAAGCGATATGAGCACCCATGCGCACAATCATCTGATTCTCCAAACAGAATCTACGAATTACATTGCAGTAGAGAGTATCTCCGATCATCCTTTATTACCGGGGCATGTTCCAATGGTATGTTGCAGACCTTACGAGGCTCTGCTGAAAGCGAGGATTCTTGAACTCCGTTGTTTTCGGGCCTCACAGTGACTAAGCTTCAGAAGGTCGAGCAATCCAAAGAATACATGTGTTCCACAAGCACTACAACAAGCCGGCATGCACATTACGTGCATATAATCCTTAAGTTAGGACAACGAGAACGCACGAGGAAGGAGAAGCGGTCGTTACTCCTATGTTGTAATGATGTGGCTTGGAATCCTGCTCGTACGCGGACCAAGTAGTGCTGCGAGCTCAAGACGCCCAGAAAGACAGTGCTGCTGGACTCCTGCCCGAGCACCACCTGGTCCTGCCCGAATCGCGGCTTGAAGGATCAACGAAAGGGTACGTCAAAAATCTGCACCTGGCACTACCTGATCTGCCTTACGGCTCCATTTTGAAATGGTGTTGGGGTCTCTAATTTTCCGAAACTCCAACTTTGGCTTCCTTGATGCTTGCCGTTGCCCTCGAAGCAGCATCTGCAGCTGCTTCTGCATCTGTGCCTCAGGCTGTTACAAGCGAACACAATCGTCGAAATGCTTCTCCGGGCTGCGGATCACCAGCACTGCAAAAATAAAACTAGGATATCTGACTGTCAGTTGTGTTGGTTCTGAGACCGTGCCTCTAAACATGCAGTGGGAGGGGAGTTGCTCGTTGCTAGTCCTGAACGAGCGAGTGAACCTCCCCTTGGCCCTCCGACCCCGCAGCCCCCCAAAACAAGTGAACCCCGCCAAAATAAATCCCGACAAATACTCCCCCCCCACCCTGCGCGCACTATCTGTACTACCAACTGCTGCATTTTTCTATTTTACTATTACTACTACTACTACTACTACTACTACTACGACCACCACCACCACCACAACCACCACCCACCTCCACCACCACCACCACCACCACCTCCACCACCATCACCACCACCACGACTACTGCTACTACTACTACGACGACGACTACTACTACGACGACTACTACTACGAGTTGTGATACCTGTCATAAGAAAAATGTGCACCAGTCTGCTGCAGAGCTGTTGTAGCTTCTTGTTGCATGTTGTTTAGTAACACAGCTTTGCCAAACAATGATTTGGCTCAAGTGCCTTGTGTAACTAGGTGTGCCAAGTGTGCATGATAGATTGGTTGGCAACTGCAGCTCGTAGAGTTGCTGGCTACACTGGCTACTATACTACTACTGTACTACTACTAAACTACTACTATACTACTACTACTACTACTACTACTATACTACTACTACTACTACCACCACTACTACTACTACTACTACTACTGCTACTACTACGACAACGGACTCGACTACGACTACTACTACGACGACTACTACTACTACTACTACTAAGTTACTACTACTACTAAGTTACTACTACTACTAAGTTACTACTACTACTACTACTACTACTACTACTACTACTGCTACTGCTACTGCT